GTGGCTGACGGCGACCATTCAGCTCATTAATCTGAATCGTGAATCGTTGGGGAGAACATGACTAGTCAAGGTTTTATCACACACACAAAGGAGATCAAACGAGGATAGCAAGTTCAATATTTATCGCAGTGGCATTCAAGAGATAAATACAGTTAACTCAAAATAAGAGGTCGACAAACAACATCATAAAAACTTCCGACTTCGCCGCAGTTATCCTGAATGTAGCTGTCCATTTCACACACGTTTGGCACCAGGCTGTGCACCAAACAAATCACAGTACAATGATCTTTATAAAGATAAAAGTTCCATGATTTTTTTGTGGGTGCGATACTGATAGGTTGCCCAGGCAAAGGCAGGTAAGTTTCCTTGAGGAAATCAACCGGAACCTCGGACTAGACAAAGCCTGACCTGCACGGCAGCGGGTGAAAACAGCAATCCATTGGGGGCCTGTGTCCAGTTCAAGAGATCATGCACCATTTGGACGGGATCAAAAGTCCAAGGTGTCCAATAAACCTCCATACCCAATCGAGCCGATGACCGCTACCACCACCAGGAAGTTGAGGGTGGGGGTGGCTCGCACGCCTCTTCTTGGTTGGATTGGGATCAGGGGTTTTAGCCAAGTTATCTAGGTGAACTGCCAGTGGTTCACCAGTCCGGTTATAGTCCCGAATATTGGCTTTTCGTCTTCTGACTTTGATGAGAAAACACCGACACAAGGAGCCAGTGAGTAGGGCTTCCTCAACAGAGGCTGTTTGAGACATCTAGTCGAATAGGAGTGGTTCGTGAGATGCAAGGCAAGGGTGACTAGGAACAATCCAAGGCATCCACCTCGACCACATTGAGACTCTGTTATCCTGAATAATGCGATGTATAATCCTTTAATGAGACGGATGGTGGCTGGGAAACAACAAAAAAGTGGCTGGATGATCACCTGTCTTGAAACAATGAGGAGCTAGACCAGTTAGATCTATTACGTAGGTCGTGTGAGGCTTATTGTTTGGAGAACCCCGGGATCAGTGCACTAATTGGTTACAGGTATTAAATGATAATGTTGAACCTATTGAACAGTGCTATTTGTGAATCTGTTCATGCTTATATCATATTGGGGTTAACCAAATCCTGCATCCTGACCCACGAGTCATTCTCTTACTCTCATTCTCGTCCTCATTGATGGGTAGCCGAAACACAGTTAGCAAAATCAATGTGCAGGATTTATTTTTCTCATTACTACACGCCAAAGTCAGGCGGATCAGTCGTTCATTCGTGAACACCGGTAACCTATATCCCGGGAATTCCAGTGATGAACCGCTTACTGTGTTTCGTGGGAACCAATGGAGTAAATTTTAGTCGTGGATGATGATAGTTCGCAGAGTAGAAATGAATATTGGACGACGAGTAAAGGGATGAATGAAAATCACATCGCTTTGTCAGTCGCTCGCTCACCTTGTACACCAGACCGTAGCGCAACAGACGTCGGCCGGGCACGAGTAATAAATTTCGAGTCCAACGACCGAGTAGTTTCGACTGAAGCAGCGCAGCCATATCCGCTTGATCGTTCAGGCGAATCTGTTCATTCAAATAGGCCGCGGTGGCTGTGATTCCCGCAAACGCAGCCATCAATCGGAGTGTGGCTGAAGAGGCTCGGGAAGCAAATTGGTCCACCTGAGTCCAATCATCGGTCAACTGGAATGGACTACTGGGTTGCAAGGGTGAGGTATGTGTGGCTGATGTTCGTGTTGGTGTCCTTGTCGTCATGCCTGGCCCCAAATCCGTTTGACCGCCGTACCGGGTCAGAATCCAGGCGGAAATTTGTTCCGGGACTGTTTGGGGTTGCTGGGCGATGCGAATCACCTCGTCCACCCAGTCGTGAGCTTGTTCAGCACTAAAGCCGTCCAGTTGTAAGTAAACGGCCAGAAGTTCTTGAATCAGTAGTGAATAGCTGAGTGGCAATGGATAATAAAGGGATAAATGGCCTTTTTATTTAAAAAAAATGTATTGTCCAGTGCGGCAAAGAGTGGGTAGGGCAAATATCTGAAACAGTGATTCAAGCAGATCAATAAACGGATGTAGCAACCTAGTTGGCTAATTAGATCGGAAACGGGAGTGCCGAACAGATGGATTAGTTAGCAACAATTTCCTGGGAAAATCTTCACAACCCCAGTTCGATGCTTGGTTCTATACCGTAACCAGAACGAAGCGTGTTTCAAGCGAGTTCGTTTTGTTTATGGTTTAGCATTAACAACCAGGTGTTGATGTGCGAATTGTTTACTGCCTTGGTGTATTCATGCGGTAAGTAGCATATGATAGGCTCAGAGAAATATTTGTTAATCATGATGGATGTTATTTGACAAATCAGATAACAGGGGGATCCGCCGAGAGTGTGCGCCGATGACGACTCCCGATTAGAAAAAAAAGAGCTACACTGTTAATTAGTTTTTCACTTGGATAAGCTTTTTGTGGTAACCATAGAGCTGTCAAGCAGTCGTAAAGACGAATCGATAATTGCATCCCCACGACAGATCGGATGAATGTGAGCAAGGACAAGTTGAAGTGTTTGCAAATGATTGGTAATCGTCGGACGCAATTAGTTTCGCGAACTTATGCGGCTACGAATTATCACCTACAGGTCCTCACTGTCAATGAGTGCCTATGACTTGAGGGCGCGGCAGACTTTGTGGCAGCCCACACCGATGAACGGGTTTTTCCTTTCAGAACCCTGACCGGAGCCTTCGACTCAAAATTCTGACCACAAAATGGATATATTTTGTTATTCGGGCAGCTAGATCTCACCTGACGGACGTATCACGGATGAAGTGTCAGCTCGCATACGGAAGGCTCGATTGGCCTTTGCCAACTTGAGACATGTGTGGCACCGCCACAACATCCAGCTGCCTGTTAAGCATCGAGTGTATGCTGCGGCAGTTCAGTCAGTTCTGCTACACGGCGCAGAAACTTGGTCATTAAGAAAACAGGATAAAGATAGATTGACGGTGTTTGAACACCGCTGTCTATGCAGCATTGCACGAATCTGGCGGGGCAGCCGAACGAGCAATGCTGAGGTTAGGCGCAGAGTTTTGGGTATCCGCGGTCGCTCACTTGTGCAAGTGATTGACCTTCATAGATTACGCTCGGTTGGGGCATGTGTTACGCATGTCACCAAACACGTTGCCATGGTACGCGATGCTTAGTGAGGCCGGGAGGGGTGAGATAACGTCAAGATCGGTCAAACTAAGATCTGACACGAGGGTATAAAAATCCGAAACAGGAAACTCGGACACATAGATCGCGTTAGGCTCTCTGGATGAGGACCTCAGAATCATTGTGATCGACGGTTAGAGACACTGAGTGATATGGCTAAGTATCGTAAACAGTGGCGATCGTGCATCTTCCCAATTTTTTGCAACCGTNATATTCAACTTTTCTGTCTTTCTCCTGCTCCATTCAAATGAGCAGCCAAAAGACAGCACCCAACCAGAACCGGTGCATAAACGTGCCCGGTTAATGGTTGTATAGGCTGAAAACTGAAACTCCCCATCAATGATCCTGGTGGTCAATAATCATGTGATCTAGACTCCCCCGTGGTATAATGTAACATCAGAGCGATCGCTGTACTAGAACNTAGAACTTAATATTCCCTCATTTCTGGTAATCTATTCAATAATCAATCAGTTAATTAGGAGTAAGCAAAAACAGTCATCCCGTCTCCTCTTAACCTGGATACCCTCGGGTTAAGCAGAGCTGAATGCTGCCAGGCGCGTCCCCGGGCTGTGAATAGAGGGGTACCTTCACCGAAGAAGGTTAGCTGTCAATAAGTTGTGGTATACCGCAACAAATAAACGGTCGCGAACAAACAGTGATGGGTTTCAGGCGTGCTCCTGTTTAAAAGCAGCATAAGCCCAATGACGGTATCGTAACAAAGGTCGATGTGACTGGCCATTGACCCCCTCACTTCCGAGGCGAGGGATTACTTCCTGCTGCCTTGAAGTTCGCACCTGGTGGAGCAAAGGCCAGAGGTGCACCCTCAAAATAAAAAATGCCGAGTGACGCTGGGGACGTCTCTCGTACCAAATTCCCACGTAACTTCGTGATCATGATCATGACCATATCTGGAGCCAAGCGGCAGTAAAGTAAAGTAGTAGTCTCCTGTTAATCTCATTTCGCCCAGGTTCTGGGAACAGCCTTCAGCCACATATGTCACATGATGATCAAGAATTGTTTGCAAAATTTTTGGAGTTTAATTAGCAGTGCAGCCCCAATTGGGTATTTATTACGGGAGCTGACTGATCTTATACCCCGGATTTCGACAAGTTGGACGAATCAAACAGATTCTTCTGATCAGACGGAACAATCTCGAGTAACTTGTTGCACAGTACATAAAAGGTCTGGTTAGTTTCCACCAATCTAGTTCATCCGTGACGTGGAGGTGACAGATGCTTATCCGACAAACAATTGGCGATCGTGCATGGATGCGCACAGATTGAACACAGATACGTCCATTAATGCATCCATCACCAGGCTAAAAATTGGCACAATGCCAAACACAGAGAATGAGAGACACGTGGAGCGACCGTCGTGGTGGCCCATGAAAGACCTGGATCAGCACCATGGAGTCGAACGAGGAATGCTTGGGAATCAACGGCGGTGTACGAATTTGTGCGGATCTCGCCTCCAACAAGCAGCGTGTGGGGAGCGAGGGGAGGGGGGAATGGCTGTGACCGCAGGCATCCACGAGGTCAGTTTCCTCTGCGATCAGGAGATGATCGTAAAGACAAGACGACGATACTCTCTATATGAATTTATGAAATGGAGTGTTGAGCAAGTCCAACCGAGGAAGTGAAACACATGTTTGTTTAGGGTACCAAACAATCAATCCCATCAAATTATCCACTACTCACAACTATAACCACAACGGAATTGCAATTGTTCTGTACATCATACACGTGTAGTGATTGGTTTGGACACGGAGCCAGTAGAATAGCATTGGGTCTGTTGGATGTGAAACACGCCGACCGTAGTAGTAGTAGTCATGACAACAAAAAAAAACAGTCGAGGATGACGAGGCCAATATTCGCACACGCCGAATCCAGGCAAAATAATCCGGATAGTGTACATAAAACAAAAAGTGTCAGTGACCAAACCAAGATGTATTAGTGCCCGCGTGTTCGCGTTGGCAACGGTTTCCATAGGGAAAAATATTTCACACGGTAACGTGATGACGGACTGGAGGAAAATGATGCGCACCGAACTAAATTAGCCGGTTGAAGCAATCAAGCGACCTGAAGTTAAGCTAAACAATTTCTTCGGAATGAATCTACAACAGGGGGGCGGCGATGCTCCCGAAGCATGTTAGTAGAACGAAATTGCAAAACGGACAGCGATTTTAGTTGCGAGTTCAATTTCATGAACCATCCGGGTGAGAAGCTACGATCGTTTGCCGTTCTCACATTATTCAGATGGTTGTTTGGCAGACCTGAAGTTTTTATTTCGATTGTGAAAAGTTCAGTAGCCTCAGCGGGATTCGAATCCCCAGGCATGGACGCCGCCTACGCTTTTGTACAGCGCACGCTCTGCCAGCTGAACTACGAGACCACACCGATAGCACTGATCTTTACACATTCGAATTACCCATCCAACTTACAGAGGCATATGAAATGTAAGCTGACTGCCCCGACAGGTTTTCCTTAGAATTCACCGGAGTCCACCGAATGAGTTTCTAAGGTAATGTTAATTGATCACATTGTTTGGCAGATTTAACAATCTCAAAAAACTGTCCCCGTTTTATGTGCACAGCAACATTTTATTAGAACACCTACTGGTGTAATGAACAATGAAGACAATGAACCCCATACGAAGAAGTATTCACCATTCAGTCAGGGGAACGAGAAACATACGCTCTGGGAGTGTCGAATCTCAGCCTGCTGGGACAAAATGTGCCAATGAGTCAGATGATAGAAAAGCTATTTGCTATGAACAGTATTGGTAGTGTCTAAACTGCAGACCATAACTCCCCCAGTGCACACTATCGGGGACGACTCAAACCGCTCGAATAGAGAGACTAAACCGGAACATTTCAGTCTATTCAGCCCGTTTGTTGATCACCCACAGATAAGGCGCTTCAGCAAGTGAGACATTGAAGTAGATAATAAAAAAAAACGGCGGATAGTCATCGATAGAAATGCGACCGTGCGCCTTACCGTGGGATTCGCTGTATAGGCATGATTAATAGAGCGGGCAGCTGGAGATTCACCTCAGGTAAGTTTTCTTGCTCGTATATGAACAGGGATAGTTCCGTATTGAACGTGATACAAGTCTGCAAAATGAGAGCGGGGTTGGGTGTGGTGAGATAGAGGGAATGAGGACGGATTGTTAGTGTTTTTAGTAACCGGCTGTTGCAACAGCTATGCAATTTGAAATGTTATAC